CTCAACTATATATTGACTATCATTTACTTTTTCATAGTTTATAACGTGTGAATCGAAGTTGGCTTTTAAAGTCGCTTCACTCCATAAATGTCTCGATGTAGTTATATCCTTCTGAATAGATTTACCATACAATGAATTGCCTAATAATTTCATGCAATTACTACCTACGATATTACCTTCTCGTTTATATTTATTTCTTAGATCTCTCAAAATTAAAATATAATCTCTATAGGGTGGAGTTTTAAAATTTTCTTCGTAAACTATACCATCTAATATTTTAATAATTCGTCCACCGGCTTTCACTATTTCTTGAATATCGACCGATGTTAAAACGTCGTGACAGAAACCATTTCTGAACCTGATTTTAGTGCCAGTTTCCTTTTTACCTATTCTATTCGTGAAAGTGATTTTATCTTTAGCTGGTATGGGTTGGAAGAACATGTAGGTAGGATATCCCAACCAGATTTTTAAAATAGCAGTTCTAGGTCTGAATTTCTGCTCATTAAAGAGCTTAACAAATTCTTTATTTTCTTCTTGTCGAAATGGTCTACCACTTTCCGCTCTCGGATATTCGCTATCTAAATCCGACATGGCGGAAGCGTACAAACCGTTAGCGCCAAATGCCATTAGTTTAGAATAGTCCAGCTCTTTGAGTTTAGCGTGAACTTCCGTTTTATCTTTTGGGTTAGCACTATATTCTTTAAATAAATCAATTATATTATCACTTGGTGTTTCTGTGTATTCCTTTAATATATTACAAATTTCATCCATTTTGTTCGTTTCAAATGATGTTCGATTTGCCGAAACTCTTCCTCCTTTAATACTTTGTCTGATAATATATCTTATAAAAGGGTGAGTATGTGAGTAAACTTTTTCTACGTTTTCTTTTTCGGTGTGTTTCGGAACCATTCTAATACTTTCATACCATTCTTCTTCAACCATTTCTTTATGGTAATGATATAAATAATACCAACCCTTTAAAGATAAAGAAGGAGCCGTTAGATTATTGGAAATATTCTGAAATACAACTTCTTTCATTGCTTGATTGTATTTTATCAAACAAGCTCCAAGACATAACGTATCTCTTTTAGCGTAAGGTTCCCATTCGTGTCTTAAAGGTTCCCAATTATCTTTGGTGTATTTTGCAATGTCTACATCCTCGATCTTCCTCAAATTCATTGGTAGATTAGATGAATTACCCCATGCCGCTAAACTAGGTGATTGATGTTGATAGGAACATATGAAATTAATATTTTGCAAATAATTAGATTTCGGGGAAGGGAGGGTTTGATTCTCCCAAATGTACAGGCCTAGGGTGGAGCAGACACTTTATTTAGAAATTAGGATTAAGGGTCTTGATATTGGGTTTTCTTCTGTTCTTATTCTGATCTGAAATTAGAAAAAAATAACTCGCCCGATGGGCGAGAAGTATAGTATCTGTTATGTACTGATTGTTTTTAGTTTACTATGAACAATATTATCATTTAAGTTCTTATTTTTTGAATATGCAACTATCATTTTCTGCTTATAGACATGGGGGAATTTCTCTTGAAGGCTCTTATAGTGGAACTATCTTGCTTGCTCGATTGCTGGTTGTATTAAACGGGACAACAAAGGGTGCTATGCCTACATTATGATGAATATTTAGTCCTATAGGTCTTGCTGTATTCAATGTCTCAATCCAATGGGCCTCCCTAGATTGACGGAATTTGGTAGTTTCATCTTCGGGCAAGTCAATTTCTATACGCTCAATTGGGATTAGGGTGAGATCGTCTATTGAATGGTCGTCGAGGTTGAAATGATTAGAAACCAGGCTTGTTCTTTCTTTAATTTGATGTCTGACCTATGAGCATAAAGCGAG